TCTTTCTTTCTTTCTTTCTTTCTTTCTTTCTTTCTTTCTTTCTTTCTTTCTTTCTTTCCATCCATCTACCCATCCACCCATTATCCATCTATCCATCCATCCATCCACCCTCCATCATTTATCTATTTTTTAATCTATCTATCTATCTATCTATCTATCTATCTATCTATCTATCTATTTATCTATCTATCTATCCATTATCCATCATGTATCCATCCATCCTCCATCCCCCATCCCTCCATCCATTAATCATCATCTACCCATCCACCCATTATCCATCCATCCATCCATCCATCCATCCATCCAAGAATCATAGTGTTCAAAATCTAGTTGAAATCTATTGTGTATCTATGGTCCTTCAGGGGCCCACTGACTAATGGTGAAGAATTCTAGAAGCTTATAAAGAGGAAAATACTGCCTAACTTGCTTTCCAAGGATTAAAATTCTGCTCTCTATAGCCTTTTTCCCGCCCCTTAATTTTTTTCTTTTCTTTAAATTATCTATTTCCTTTTGAAACTTGAAAGAATGCATCTGACTTACTGCTCTGAAATGTGTCATGTCGCTAGGTTGGCAACCCGCACAGAACAACTTTCTTATACCTGGGCTGCACTAATATACATGATCACAAGAGGGCAGCAAAAGAATTCAGTGGGGTTTTAAAACCTCTCCCTCCTGACCTCTAGTGGTTGTCTCAGATTCTGCACCCTGAAAATGATAATCTGTTTATTTTTTCCGGCCAACGTCTTTTGAAATTTCTGTTTTGGAAACTCAGGGATTGTGTTATAGATGGGGAACTACATGCCTTAATCTGAATGTGCTATAAGCAGTTTGAAAAGACCTAGCTTGGTAGAGTTTATTTTTGATAAATGGAATAATTTTTATAATAAACAAGTTTGTTTGTTTACCTGTGTTCTTTTGGTATCTCATTTAATTTAATTCAGAGCCAGTTTGGTGGTGATTATTATTGATGCTTTTTGCATCCAGTTTACCAAGTAATTGTGTCTGCATTTGGCACTGACTTTTGATTACTAGGTCCTTCTGATAAAATCTACGATTATGATAACATTCTAGAGTAATATCTAATATTACAGGTTATCTTTTAAAGAATAATATTATAGGAGGACCCCAAACGCTCCATCCCAACTTTCACAAAACTTCAAATGCTTCACAGAATCGTAGAATGAAAAGTTTAAAAGTTAAAACATCAATTGTTTAAAACACACACACAAACACACACACAAAACACATATAACAAAGATGAAGCAAAAACCTAAAACTAGGTGTGCTTGTATCTATGTAGTAAAAGAATAACAGAATAACCGAGTTGGAAGGGTTTAGGGTTAGCAAGTTGGCGATTCTATGCCCCTAAAAAAATCAAACCAATCAGAGTTGGAAGGGACCTTTGGAGGTTTCCTAGTCCACCCCACCCCCCACCCCCGGTCAGGGAAGAGACTCTATCCTGTTTTGGACAAGCATTGTCCAATCTCTTCTTGAAAACCTCCAGTGATGGGGAAGGCAGGCAGGCAGGCAGGCAGGCAAGCAGAAAGAAAGAAAGAAAGAAAGAAAGAAAGAAAGAAAGAAAGAAAGA